GGCGGGGAGGGAATGTGCGGCGAGAGCGCTGGGTTCCCGTCGGTCGGTGCGAGGGTCTCGGTCTGGACCCGGGCGGGCGAGAGGGCGCGGGTGGAGCGGGCAGCGAGGCGGGCCTGGCGGGCGCCCTTCGGCAGTGCACGCGCAAACCTGACATTTTTGGATTCTTTTTGGTGGTGGCCTGAAGGATGAGAGGAGATTGCATTCAGGTCTTGTGTCCACGGAAAGTTTCAAAATGCTACGTTTGGGTGAGATTGGGGTCCAACCTCAGTAGGGAGGGGGGAGGTAGTTTGAGTATGTTTTATAACCCCCGGTCTTTCTTTTTCGCGAAGCTTCAGGCTTCCCTTTGCAGCCAGCATTCAGATGAGGCCTGGCCTTCTCGGATACTCTTACGGAATGTGTTCTGCTAAAAATATTTCATAATTTACCTGAAAAAAGAGAATGAGGGTCACAACTTCAATTTGGGGACAGTCACCAAAGCTAATAGACAAAGTTTGGATGGTTCCATTTGTGGTCGCTTGTGAGGGAAAGTTAAACATTTGCTGTAGGTGGACTAAAGCTAGTCCTAAGAAAAACTGTATGTTAGTTATTGTTGGAAATGGTGGTTATGGGTAACAGTATTGGCTCTTTGCCCATATAGTACACAAGGACTGCCAAAATACAGCTAAATTCATTGTAGTTGTGGACCAAGAACGTTAATGTGCACTTTGCTTAGTTTGGTTATGGGTTCATTGTTTACACTGGTAATTGAGCACACACACAGCGTTTAGGAAGATGAATGTATCTGCTGGTGCAGGGATTGTTACAAAGTCTGGTAATTCATAAGATGATTTTCATATACAGTGTAAGTGATACTTTTTAAAAAATAATTAGAAACATTTCTAAATTAAAGTACCACTTAACTGTAGTAACAGGTTCTTTAAGAGGGTGTTAAGGGGTGGGTGTGCCTTGTTTATGGTTTTATTAATGGCCTGCAACACAGTAGGTACTCAACATTAGTCTAATGAACGAATGGGCACTAATAGATGTAGGTGGGAAAAGAAGCCTTCATTTACTTAATTCTTCTTCCATGAGTATATACCAAAGCAAAAGGACTCTTACCTAGTTCTGCAAGCTACGCTTTATCTGAAAGTGATGCGAGTTTGATAGGAGATTCCTGGTAAGAAGATGTGGAAAGCTTATGTTTTTCTGGGTTCATTTGTTACATCCATTCTACTTTTATTCTAGTTTGGGCAGAACAGGCGCTATTAGAGCCTGATAGTGGTGCAGCTTGTGTTAACAGGTGGTGCTGTGTGCATCATTTTTTTTGTCTTGGTATTGGAACCTCAGAAGATAGCTTACTGATGCTTGTTATATTCTGTATGCAGATGATTGTACTTTTGTGCTGCGTTAAGTTTTGGGCTTCTGTATGCTTCTGATTCAGTTTTAAGTTTTGACTGTATGAACATGGGATAGAAAGAGTACAAATAAAGGCAACAGATACAGGGCAGATGTGAATTTCAAACTATTGCTTTTAGTTTATTCTAACTTAAGGGCCTGTGAATGTCCAGGTGTGATAAATTTGAGTGTCATCATGTCTCCTTCAGCATTCTCATAAAGAAAGCAAATGGTAATGTGTTTAGAATGTGAACATAAGGGAAAGCAAGGATTTCAGTTTCTTGTTGAGTTTTCATATATTGTACTGAATTTTTTGAAATAAATAGAATAATATTCACTAATTGTATTTTTTGTGTCTGATTCTTTTTTTTTTTTTTACACTTGCCATACATTTCGTATTACCATGTTTACATGTTTTCAAAATGTTTCTTGTAGGCCCTTAAGATTTAATATTTAAACACGTACATGGTATACTTATTCGCCAGTAGGTTTCTTGAAAAACTGATGTAGGTTTTCATTCACTCATGAAGTATTTATAGCCTACTTTGTGCTAGACACTGTACCAAGGTGACTGTAGCAGTGTATAAGGTAGTTAAGGCCTGGTGTGGCTCAGTTGGTTGTGCTCCCCATGCACCAAGAGGTCACCGGTTTGATTCCCAGTCAGGGCACATGGCCAGGTTTCTGGCTCGATCCCCAGTAGAGGATGTGCAGGAGGCAGCTGATTGATGTTTCTCTCTCTCCCCCCCTCCCGCCTCCCTCTCTCTTTCCCTCTCTCTCCCTCCCCTTCCTCTATAAAAATCAAT